CTTCTGAAAGTGGGATTAGAGTCTCCTAGCTTCTTGGAGAGAATACATGGCGATATTTGTGGGCCTATTCACCCCGCAAGTGGACCATTTAGGTACTTTATGGTACTTATAGATGCATCAACCAAGTGGTCTTACGTGTGCCTTTTGTCCACCCGCAACTTAGCTTTTTCAAAGCTATTGGCACAAATTATTAAGTTGCGGGCTCATTTCCCCGATAATCAAATCAAGAAATTACGTCTTGATAATGCGGGAGAATTCACTTCACAAGTCTTTCAAGACTATTGCCTAGCAACTGGCATCGAAGTTGAACATCCTGTAGCACATGTTCACACCCAGAACGGGTTAGCAGAATCTCTAATTAAGAGATTGCAATGGATTGCTCGTCCATTGTTGATGCAATCACAGTTGCCTGTTGAGGCTTGGGGTCATGCAATATTGCATGCAGCATCACTTATCAGAATACGGCCCTCTGGTGGCCATATTTTGTCACCAATGCAGCTTGCTTATGGTGCACCTCCGAATATCTCACATTTGAGAGTGTTTGGTTGTGCAGTTTACGTCCCAATTGCTCCTCCACAAAGGACCAAAATGGGTCCACAGCGTCGTTTGGGTATCTATATAGGGTTTGATTCGCCCTCTATAATAAGATACCTTGAACCCCAGACGGGTGACGCATTTAAAGCACGTCTTGATGATTGTGAATTTGTTGAGGATTCATTTCCTAAACTTGGCACACAGTCCAGGAAGCCTGACGCTTCTAAGACCATTTCTTGGAACACCAAGACTTTGTCTCATTATGATCCGCGTACTAGTCAATGTGAAGATGAGATCCTGAAGATTCTTCATCTTCAGAATACAGTACATTTACTTCCGGATAAATTCACTGATAACCAGAAGATTGTCAGATCACACGTCCCTGCTGTCAACACGCCAGCTAGGATTGACATCCCCAAAGATGGATGCAATCCGCCGGCAGCAGAAACGGCTGTACCTCAATTGAAAAGAGGACGCCCACCAGGTTCGAAGGACAAAGTCCCTCGTAAAAGAAAAAATCCTGGAGAAATAAAAATGAACCCAACACAGGATACTGAGCTCAGACCAGCTTCCTCTCCCCTCCTAGATTCCCCTGAAGAGGAACAAATAGGAGAAACATCATTAAATTTTGTACGTACTGAGGAGGTACTGGACAGAAAAAGCACAGTCGTCGACGACGACTTTGCGTTCGATATTGCCGTTCACGTCACTGAATACGACGATGACATCGAACCACGGTCTCTAGCGGAATGTAAACGCAGAGACGATTGGCCAAAGTGGAACGAGGCAATAGGAGTAGAGCTGGACTCACTCTTGAAACGCGAAGTCTTTGGACCAGTAGTCCAAACACCTAAAGGTGTAAAACCTGTGGGATATAAGTGGGTCTTCATCAGAAAAAGAAATGAACACAACGAGGTTGTGCGCTACAAAGCACGGCTTGTAGCACAAGGTTTTTCCCAAAGACCGGGAATAGACTATGAAAAAACATATTCTCCGGTTATGGATGGGAATACCTTCCGATTCCTAATAAGCCTCTCATCTCTGGAAGGCCTAGAAATGCAGCTCATGGACGTTGTGACTGCATATCTATATGGCAATATAGATAAAGATATCTATATGAAACTCCCTGAAGGATATAAAATTCCACCAGAGATAGCAGATAGACCTCGGGACGTCTATTCTGTTAGGCTTCAAAGATCATTATATGGTCTTAAGCAATCGGGGAAAATGTGGTATAACAGACTAAGTGAGTTCCTTGCTACGCAAGGATTCACAAATGATAAAGTCTGCCCGTGTATCTTTATAAAAAGATCGGGAACAGGATTCATTATAGTCGCCGTCTATGTCGACGACTTAAATCTCATTGGATCTCCTGCAGAGATCGCTGGGATATCTGAAAGCCTTAAGAATACTTTTGAAATGAAAGACCTAGGCAAAACAAAGTATTGTCTTGGCTTACAGATCGAACACCTTAAGGGTGGTATCCTGTTACACCAATCCACATATACACGGAAATTACTTAAAAATTTCCGAATGGATAAATGTCATCCTCTTAGTACACCAATGGTTGTTCGATCATTGGATGTAAAGAACGACCCCTTCCGTCCGCTGGAAGAGGGGGAGGAAATGCTAGGTCCTGAAGTACCTTACCTCAGTGCCATTGGAGCACTATTATATCTGGCTAACTGTACGCGTCCCGATATAGCGTTTTCAGTTAACCTACTAGCCAGATACAGTGCAGCGCCCACAAAGCGCCACTGGAATGGAGTTAAGCATCTTCTGCGCTACCTCCAAGGGTCTATAGACCTGGGATTATATTTCCCGAAGGGTGGGTCTCCCACCTTAATTGGTTATTCAGATGCAGGTTACAGGTCTGATCCCCACACCGAGAAATCACAAACCGGATTTGTGTTTACATTCGGTGGTACGGCCATCTCCTGGAGGTCTGTCAAGCAAACCACTGTAGCAATCTCATCCAACCATTCCGAACTCCTCGCGATCCATGAAACCAGCAAAGAATGTGTTTGGCTTCGTTCTGTCATTCAGCACATCTTAGTGTCTACCGGCCTGAAGACTGGTGACCTTGAGCCAACTACTATATTTGAAGACAATGCAGCCTGCGTTGCTCAACTTCAGTCTGGCTTCATTAAGGGTGACAAGACGAAGCACATATCTCCCAAGTTTTTCTGGACACACGATCTTCAAGAGGAGGAGCAAGTTAAAGTACAGCAGATCCAATCATGTAATAATTTAGCTGACTTGTTCACTAAGGCTCTGCCTAGATGTACTTTTGTAAAACTTGTAAAAGGAATAGGGATGAGACATCTGAAAGACCTACAAGCCTGAAGCTTGTATGGTTCAGGAGGAGTAACCTATGGGTTGTACTCTTTTTCCTTAGGCTGATGGTTTTTTCCCACTGGGTTTTCCACAGCTAAGGTTTTAACGAGGCAAACAAGTTTACTCTGGATCCAGAAGTGTCCACCCCATTAGCTTTACGAACTCTGAAGTGTTCATAAGCTAAACCCAAGGTAATGGATGGATAAGGGGGAGTATTATGAGATGAGGGAGGCCTTTGGCCTCCCCCTCATTATCCCTTCATTCACACCCCATTATGATGGTGTAACACCCCATTAAGTGGGGGTGACTCTTGGGTACTCAACCTATTCACATTGACTATCTATAAATATACATCATAGGCCTTTGGCCTATGTAAGAGTTTCAAACACCAAAGAAATTATTGATAAAATTATTTTTTGAATTTTTTTTAAGAGAAGAAACAAGAGTGACCCAAAGCTCCAGTTATTGACCACACCACTGATGGCGGGCCCTGAAATTTTTTAAACTTCTTTTATCCTTAGATAAAGAGAAAAATATTTGTTGATAAATGGATATTCTGAGAGTAAAAGAATCAAAATACTTTCACTCAGGGGTCTTTCAACAATTTGGATGCTAGTACGGGATGCCTATAACAATAATGGAACTGCAAAAGGTCTATCTGTAATTAGGCGATAATAAAAGATGTCTATCTACAATTCATATTTTTTTAATAGTGAAGTACTATTTTAAAATAGTTCAGACCCACCTTTTTAGCTCATGTTTGTTTTCTTATCCATACTATTTTTAACAAGGGGTTCATTAATTTAAAAAAACGGGGACTAATAATCTAATATAAACCCACTCCACCCTCACCTTTACAATCCGGGTATTAGCCATATATTTAGGGGGAATAAGATTTTGTTGACGAAAACACCCATATCCTCTTTAATTCCTTCGATCTTTTTTTTTTTTTTTTTCCTCCCATTCAGTTCTCTCCAAAACTTACACAAATCTACAGAGCTTCATTAGATGATGACGTTTTTGCTTTGACTAGGGTCGAATGAGACAAAATCATACTGTCCGATAGAGATGAATTTAGGAGCAAACTGATCGATATGGTCGGTTGACTACGTCTTTTGTGTCTCCCACCGCACAAAGCATTCGATAACTTTCAAAATCTCATTAAAACAGCAATTTTTTTTTTTTTTTTTTTTGTTATTTTTTGAGTGGGGGAATGAATCAAGGCAATGTTAAGCACCTGAAAAGTACTATTGTGACGCATGAAAGTTACCTTTTAAAAGACTATTTATTTAATGTTAATAGGCTCGGAAAACTTGTCTTGCTTTCGTTTAATTATCTGGAGAGTGAGTTTTCGGTTTAGGTTTTGTTGCGTTGGCAGTTGGTGTGGGGATTATGGTTGCGGTTTTTGAGCACAAATAATTGAGCAGCAGTTTTCAAAGGTGACTTCAGGATGATACCAAGCAATTATTACAGGTTCACCCAGCTCCATTTTGTCAATTTGGCGAGTGTTAGCTGGGTTAGGTCCCCAGTTCCTATCTGTTATCAAATGGAATCCAATCACGAAAACTAAATTGCGTTCATCATTTTAGTTGCGACTCTTCAGGACATCCTCAGGAACTCTTTAAGAAGGTGACACCACAACTGATGGCGTTCATGTAAATCAAAATAAATTCTTATAGACATGCAAATCTAGCATAACCAGAATTTGTGCATGGCTAGTAAAAAATAGACCTAAACTGTGCCGCAGGTAATCCTGAGACCAAAGTCTTAAAGCCCATCCTCGCTGCGTCAAATTTCTGAAATTAAACTGAGAATTGGAGCTAGAGGGTTATAATATTGCTCTAACGTGTGCTCGCAAGCTAAACAATATTTTTCATGAACAAAAATCTGAACTCACACGGCGGTATCTTCTTACGAAGAATCATATATCTGGGCTCTTGTAATGATATCTTTTTTAAAATCTGCTTAAAATATGTGAATCAAAGTGAATGAGTCCTGTAGATCAGAATCAAAGCGGAGGCTAATGCTCATAGTCTCTAGAATATGACAAGGAAAGCATTAGCCCCTCCACAACTTCTCAGTACACAAGGGCATGGAATCTACGCAAATCTTGAATCTACAGTACAGCACTCTGCTTCTCAGGTTCTCAATGTTGCATCACACTCTATACCCCATTTGACCAAATGATCCTGCTGTCCTTCACCTTTCTACAGCACAATCATGAGTTGTTTCTTATATAACAAACAATACAAAATCCCTCAATTCCCCCACAACCTATGTACTCTCCTCTAAAACATACAATGGAAACTACGTCTATCTCAGCTCAACCAAGCCTCCCATCCCTCCCCTCACTCAACAACACCCATGAATCTCCAACACAAGCCCTCTATCAATGCATCACCACCCTCAGAGGGCATTCCTCCTACATCTCAGCCCTCGCAGTCGACGGAAACTCCCTCTACAGCGGATCCGCTGACAGACAAATCCGAATATGGACCCACACCGGACATGAATCGCGCTGCACGACAATAACATGCGAAAGCCCGATAAAATCACTGCTGATCTCTAAAGACACAATGTTCAGCTCACATCAAGACCATAAGATCAGAGTATGGCACATATATACCAAGTACACTCAGCCCTGCAGGCTGCAGGCAGTCCTTCCAACCGCCAAAGATCGCATACTGAGCCTCCTGTCGCCGGGCAAGCATGTACAGGTTCGTCGCCACAAGAAATGCACCTGGGTGCAGCATGTTGACGCAGTTTCTGCACTGGCTTTTTCTGACAACCGCACAATACTCTACTCCGTCTCCTGGGACCGTTCCCTCAAAATATGGCAACTCTCAAGCAACAAGTGCATCGAATCGGTACCCAGAGCACATGATGATGCGATCAGCGCAGTTGTCATATCAAAGTTAGGGTTTATATATACAGGCTCAGCGGATACAACCATCAGGGTATGGAAAATGCAAGAAGGTCAAAAGAAGCACAAGCTGGTCGATACTCTACAGGGGCATCGATCAGCTGTAAATGCGTTGGCGCTGAGTGTCGAGGAGTCTATACTGTATTCAGGTTCGTGTGACCGATCAGTGGTGGTTTGGGGAGGAAGAGATGGACATAGAGAAGCCACAGGAGCTCTCAGAGGGCACACCGGAGCGGTGCTGTGTTTGTCGGTAAGCGGAGATTTGGTATGCAGCGGGTCGGCCGACCGAACGGTGAGGATGTGGAGGAGAAGAGAAGATAAAGGTGAGCATTATTGTTTAGGTGTGCTTCAAGGACATGGAGGGCCTGTGAAGAGCCTGGCAATGGTGACAAGCGATGAAGATTGTGGGGATGAGTGTAGTTCGTGGTTGGTGTACAGTGGGAGCTTAGATTGTGATATAAAAGTATGGAAGATTTTGGTTCCATCTTCAGAGAGAGAATAGGATCAATTTGAGGATAATAGGGGAGTTTTATTAGGAACAGATTCAGTCTGTAGGTTTCGTGTAGTTCAAAGTGCACACAACGATATGATCAACAGCTACATTATTATTACTTGCATTATCTAGTAAAAGAGAAAATATTTTTTCTGAAATTTCTAATTTTATAGTTCTTCAATTATTAAATTTGCAATATTAATATACCACTATGTAAATCTTCAAATGCAATAAAAAAATAACTCTTTTAAACATTTGCCAGTTATCATCAATCCAGTGTCATGTGATACATAAATAACCAATTTGTGCTCTAGATGTATAAATATCAGAAGTTAAAAAAAATTACAGTTTAAACTTTAAAAATAAGAAATTATTTTTGCTTATTCCTCGTGATAATATTTTAAAATATCACGTTGACAAATTTGATGAGAAAAAATTTTAAATGCGGGTTAGAAACCATATGTTAACATATCTTCAAATTCATCATCTTCTACTAGTTTAAAAGAAATATTTTTAAGAATAATAAACCTGATGACGTATTTGCTGGCTCGGATTGCGTCATAGTTTCAACTACCAAGACTACCGAAAGATGGGGATTGGGAGATTAAAGATTGTCAGATATCACCTTGAGGCGTTGCCTGACCTTTGTTGTGTTTCTCTAAATGGCGTTTGAGGTGGTTGGTACCGCTTTTATGATGAGCTTGAAAAATATAGCGGCACAACGCACACTTAGCCTTCTGGGTGAGAACCCTACCGTGCTGATCCCTGGTGACTTCTATCTTCTCGAAGAAGTTCCAATCATCGGATCTCGGCTTTTAGGAGCTCTAGGTGCAGAATCATCGCTACCAGATTCGTGATCAACATTGGTAGGAATAGGAGGAGTAACTGTAGCTGATCATGTAGTAGGAGTATTAGGACTCATTTCAACGTCGGGAGTTGGGATTTGTCCTTCATAATCAGAGGAGGAAGTCATTTGATTGAAGAATTAGAGAGCAAAAACGAGTATTAGAGAGAAGTAAATGAGTTTTGGATGAGAAAAAAAATAAAAACCCCCTCTATATATAGAGGCAGCCCCCTAGCCAAATGACCAAAATATCCTCAAATTTTGATCGTTTTTGATCGTTTTTGGGGTATTTTGGTCAAAACCCAAAAAATAGCCGTTATGGCCTCGTTCGGATGCGGCCGGGCCCGGCCAGTCCGAACGACCAACAGTCACGAATGTGACCGTTGTGGCCGGCCCAGCCCGGTCAAACGTCACCAACGTGACTGTTGGCGTCCCCACCGGTCCGAGCCCGGGTCCAGGCTAGGCCCAACCCTGGCCACTTCGACCTGATCCTTTTGCTGGACTGGCTAGGCTGAGCCTCGGTGCGGGGGGCGACGAAGCGGCTGAGCCTAGGCCCGGAGCCTGGTTAAGCCCCGAGTTCCGAGCCATGCCCAGGCCGGGCCGGGCCGGGCTTGGGCTCGGTGCCGGGTCCGGGCTGGGCATGGCCTGGAAACCCGTGTCTTGGGCCCAAATGGACAGTGCTACTTTTATACATTGTACTTATATACAGTGGATCCTGAACATTTGTGAAACGTAAATAGAAATTGATAATAATGAAATGTGCACCATTAGTTAAAATGTATCTTTATCTAATACTATTCTAAAAGTGTGTTGCCATGTTAAAAAATTTCTTCCGAAAATGCCCTCAAACACACATACATACATTATATAAATATAAACACACATACATGTACATACTTAATATTACTTATGAAATGACACAAATACATTACATGCATACATCTCTAGCACATCCATACATGCATGCATTAAGATATATACATACTTAATTTTTCATAACCTCCCTATTTATTACCATCAAAATTTCATTTAACCACCCACTAATAACATTCCCCCACTAAGTCTTGACATTACACATTAATAATGAAAAACGTCATAACTATTCCTCTTCCATAAATCACTATAAATTACTATAGAGTCTTATCAAATTTCTCCAACCAAAATTCTAACTCTTAATCAAAAGCTGAGAGATCACTTTATGGTAGTTATTTAGCCTAATGAGAGAGAGAGAGAGAGAGAGAGAGAGAGAGAGATTGTATTCAAAAGCTAAGAGCGTCAAATTGTATGGGCTAACTAACTGGTGGTTTTATATATCTCTTAACCAAGTTTGTCAAGATCTTTTTCGTTTATTATTAACAAATATAAAATGTTAATTTAATAAATATAATCTGTAAATTACTTATTCAAACAAAAATACTATTTCTATTAGTTTTATTAAATTATTAATTTGATAGTTTTTATTATTACTTATCATCGCGTGCTACCAAATGAGTATTATTTCAAGTTGTCTACGTGCAACGCACGTGTACTAGTATAATGTAAATAACTGAAACGGAGCTCAAATGAGTGACACGTGAATCTCACCGTGATAAATATGATCATCCATGGTGAGGCCTGAAAATATTATGTTGAAATTTTCATTTTAAGTAAGTCAAGAGAATTTCTTACAATTAAAAGACATTCCTTAAATTCAGCAAATTTTACATCTTGTTACATTTGTCATTGAAATTAATTCCGAATTTAATAAGTACCTTTGATTTATATTTAAGTAAGTCAAAAGAATTGGATCCAATAAAATGTATCCTGTAATTCTGTAAATTTCCAAATATATATTACCCTTGTCAAATGATCAAAATTGAATCAGATCTCCTTTCCTTCCCAAAATGATCATGGTCTCATAAAAAAATTATAGCCTTCGAAAAACGTAAACAAAAATGTATAAATTCAAGATCTCTTGTGACCACACATTCTTACGTACACATTTATCACAACCAATTTGAAGCAGGCTCTCTGCCATCTTGAGTGTAGACAAAAGCCTACAGCTACATGGATTAATAGTGGTGTGTCTTAGTGGGCCTCACAATTAAATGTTTTCTAATATAATTTAAATAATTAATATTATTCATGTAAGAATTTGAATAATTAATATCATTCATGAAGTCTACTTAGTAAGAAGATTTGATTGCTGAATTGTAGAATTTCTCTATAATTAAGGATGTAGAGGAACTGTATCCCAATCATTTCTCACCTACTATATATCTCTTTCATTATTAACAAATCAAAAATACAAGACTAATTGCTGATAGACCCCTATACTATGAAAAAACGAATTAGTAAAAGAACCGAGGGTTGGAAACCCAGGTCAAATCTTGAACCAGTCTAGCCCAAAACTGGCTAGGATTGAACCTGACCCCGTTCTGGGTGGTTCGCCGAACACACCCTTATGCTGTCCATAGTTCAGGTTCCACAAAAGTACTCTCAGAGAATTGAACCAGAGGTGAAATAATGGTCTCAAGCAATGGCCGATATGTGGCTTATATCGTAGATAGCCAAGGAATCCTAACACTATCAGCTTTACGAAAGACAAAATAATAATAATTCCGCATCAGAATATTTGACCCGGTGATAACTTCTTTGAACCAATCATACGAATGATTGATAATAGTCGACAAATAATCAACATGAATATTCACAAAGTAATACAACATAATATTGCACATCACTGTAATTGGCGTGGGCACTTTTTAGGAATCCAGGCAATGCCTATGAAGAAATATTTCATGCCAGGGAGAGTAAGGAAAACTGATTCCTGCAATTACCAGAGTCGCAAATTTGTAAAAAAATTAGGATCAGTGGAAATTTAAGAAGATGAGATGCAAGTAAAGCTGTATCTCCTTTTCATTATTCATTTTCTTTTCATTATTAATTTTACATCTGCTTGCAGATGCTACGTCTTATGAATGCTCACTCACTGTTTATATTTGAGGTACTCTTCTGGAGATAGAGGCTTTGGCCCACCAAACCAGTCAATTAGAAATATGTGCTCGATATCTAACTTGAATAATTGGAAGTTGTGATCTTCCGGCCAGTCTGCACATAAAGTAGCAATAACATAGAATAGTTTTGTTACTGAGTCCAATCTTAATTTGAAATGAGCATATTGAAATGAGCTCGGATCGTAGGGACTCAAAACCTACCCTTCATTTCTGGATGCTTAGAGAATAGAGCTTGTCGAGCAAACTCAGCTTCGGAAGAGTTGCCTTCAACCAATTTGAACTGTAACAAGCAAAAATCATGTCAGAATCTATCATTTCTAAGACTTACAATCATAGATTAACATGTCTAAATGATCTACAAATTTTAAACGAATACTTAGGTGGACCAAGATTGACTGCATTAATGATTAATTTCAATTGTTAATTAGAAACAGTAATCTGGAAGAACACAAAAAAGGATGATTTAGTAGCAACTAGCAAGTGTAGAAGTATGTGAATAACTGAATAATAGTGTACTAGTGAAAACATTAAAAAATATGTGATTATTGTCTTGCTAAATGCAAACTCTGACATCCCTCTATGGGATACAAAGTTAGTTTCCAGCATAATGCACTTCATATAGGACTTACTACTATGAGTTACAATGTATGATTCAAAACGTTTAAACCTTTTGTTTAAGAGGTGTAGCGTCAGACTTAGTACTAACTAGTTGTCATAACTCCAACAAGACACTGAACATCATGAGTAAGTACACACATGATAATGACACCAAAAGTATGAACAAAACATATCCAGGAAAAAACCATGTCAAAGTTCAACTCTGGGACAAGTATAATTAGGAGATCCTTGAAACAACAAAAAAGAAGAAATAATCATAAGAAGATATGAAAATAAACAATAACAACACAATAGCAACTATATAATATGACATTCCCTATTTATATGAATATTGTTTGATATGATCTGCCTACGAACTGGCTAACTGATATTTGAAATCATTACACAGTCACACCAATGTATATCTAAGGGCCCATTTATCCACTTTTTATCATTATGATGTCAATCACAAATATTGTCGGAAGCAGTATAAAGGGAGAGGTTAATAAAAAAAAACTAATTTTTTTTCCTTAGAATCGCACACATTTCAGCTACTTTTGAGCCTTGATGGGCAGAAATAAACATTAGAAATAGGGATCCCACATGGGCGTCACGTTATCATCTAAGGAAAGTATCTTAAGTAGTTTTTCAGAGAAACAAACTTTTTTTTTCTTTTTGCTCAAAAATACTAGAGAAGAAGTCTCTACTTCCTTTATATCAGCTACTTCATAGCTACTTCATCTTGTCTACAATGTATGATTCAAAACATAGCTGAGGATGTTGACTAATAACTATATCGAGTAATTAATGTCTGCTATTGCCATGCGACCAGGAGAGTATAAATAGGAACAAACATACAGATATCTGATTTTCGGAACCGAGGACCTTCTGAAACATCACAATCTGATGCCCGCAAGTAAACCACTTTATGCAAAAGATTAAGACAATGAATGTCTCCTAGTGCAAAGTTAACGAGTACGCAGGACTTCTCCATAAACATCAGTATCACGTATGCTACTGCATCAATTATATTGAATTGAAAAATTCATCACTTACTAATTTGGCTTCACATACTACAAAACCGAAAACAGGCGAACCTCAGAACAAGCATACTCAATTAACGAGCATTTCTAATTCATATACCTTGCCGTTGAGGGTAAGTTTAGAGCAAGTAGGATTCTCCGGATCAATTTTCCCACAAGTCCCCGTCGGAGCCTCGCTAATCGCAAATGAAACCCTTGGATCCTTCAATGCATCCCTCGGAGTGGGATCCAGGGTTGTCAAATAGAAGTAGGGAATTCCACGGCCTTGCCCGGGCAATCCATCACTAAAAGAAACCACATTTCTGCATAAATGAACAGCTACAGGTCAATACTAAGCTCCCATTTGATTCAGTTTAATAAAATTAGAGAAAAATTCATTTGAAGATTACCCAAATGGAGCTCCTTCAAGATCATTAGAGATAGTACTGCAGCATAAGCAGAAACCAAGTTAATTACGAGCAGAATTCAAAAAATTAGAAGCACAAGCTTATAACCCAGATCAAAGACTGCTAATTTATAAGAAAACCCAATAAAGAAATCAACTTAATAAGCGCAGAGATTGACCTGAGAACGCCCCAAGAGTTTTGGGCAGCAAGCCAGCGAGCAGTTCCCGCAGCATTTGAGGGCTCAGGCTTACGTGGAATGCTGAGTTGGCGGCTGCTGACTACCCCTGAGAACGATATCAAAGACAAGAGAAGGAAGAGGGAGGAGGGGGAGGAGGAAGATGCCATGGCTGTTAGACTTCAATCTTCGGAATTGTCCCTCACATCATATATAGAGAGGCGCTGGAGAATAATCGGTGACAAGTTTTTGGGCTGAAGATTAATTCTTACCAACAAGAGACGCCGTTACGGTGCGTCAGGGTCGGGCCCGCAGTAGCGTCGCTCTTCTTCTTTTGTTTTTCTTTTTATGGAGCCTGGAGGGAAAGGAGCCGTTACCCTTCCCGTTACGGCGTTATCCTGGCTTTGCACGTGATTGGGCGTGTGGTGCCGTGGCCTCCTCGCTATCCCACGAGCGATGCGCGTGGGATTTGTCTTTTATATTTGGAAAATATATGTTAATGCGACTAACCTAGATTGGTGATCCTTATCTCCATATGAATCTTCAAGGAGACAATTTCTATTACTTTTTAATCGCTAGATATGAAAATATTGACATCCGTCTCCATGAATGAAGTTACCATTGGTTTTATTTATTGCTTTTAATAGCGAGATAGAGTAGCAAATCAAATATTTGTAGTTGGTATAATATATTTGATTTTGACAAAAAAAAAAGATATTCTAAACTTATAACCTAAACATTTTCCTGATTTCAGTTGGAATAGGGCCCCATTTTGTCTCCACTGTTTACTAATGAGTTGTAATTGGACCCTTATTAAGATATACGCAACAATTTATATGCTTATTTGGTTGTCTAATTTTGTAAGGTAAATCCCTTGTTTCTTAATCTTGATATCTATATCTAATTTCGTTAAAAATTATTAGTATGAATATGATCCATATCAAAGGCCTGATGTATTATAGCACCCAAAAAAGAAAAAAAGAAAAGAAAAAAGAAAAAGGAGGACGGATGCATTCGGAGTTGCTCAATTTAATCGGACACATATTTCAAGTATATGAAGTATTCTTGAAGACAAACGCTATTAGTTTTGATATAAAAGTATTAAGCTCATCCTGACTCACGTTAGAAGCTCCGCTTTTAAGGGTTGCTTGTTTCACAAATTTTTGGTGGAAAACTATGGAAAACCACCTGATGACACCTCTTTAAGAAAAGTTTTCAATTATTATATTTTATTCTTGTGTTTGTTTCAAAAAAAATTTCTGAAAAAACCATTTACAAATTGGAGAAAACACCTTCAATTCATAGCAACCAATATCTACAAGTTTTTGCGGTGAATTTATGTGAAAATTTGACAGCACTTCTGAGGTCATCAGACCCTCTACATCCTAAATTATAGAGGATGTCTACAACTCATCAATAGTCTTCTCTTGCTTTTATGAACCCCAGGTATCATATTAATTAAATAAATTATATAAAAACCCTCTTAGTTATAAAATCCATAGTATTAATTAATCTTATTTATCTACTTATATAGTTGTAGACATTCTCTACATTTTGGGATGCGGAGGATCTCTTCTCAGTTCTTAGCGCAAATCCAACTCAAGCAATTGTTTTCCTACTATGACAATTTTGGAATTAGTCTTTTGAAAACAAACAATCCCGTAGACAACTTGTTGGGCCAGTCCGAAAAGTACAAGACCATACGAAGCTGGCAGATATAAAAATCATTGGTTGCATCTAGGGGTGCATTCGGCTTTCTAAAAACGGATACGATATGAATGCGGATATGCATTGGTTAGAAAACGTCAAGATCATATCCACGCTAAACGGAAACTGATGTCATTATAACCCCTAAAAAAACTAAATATTAATCTCTACAGAGAAGTCGACACGTGTCTTACACTATACCTAACCTAACTAATTCAAGACCAAGATAACATCTGCCTCAGCACGGCCAACTTTATTGGCCAACATCTCATGTAACCGAATCAAAAGGCGATACTACTCGGCCAACCCTTCAATTGATTCCACAATCAACACAAATCGGCCTACTGTTCAGCTGACATCTCGCGTAACCGAGTCAAAAGGCAGTACTTCTTGGCCCTAGACCTAATGAGTTGAAAGACGACATTTACCTCGAACCCTCACCAACCGACTACTCTTGCATTAACTGCCCTGACAACATCATCATTGCTCTAGCTCGCATAGCCTTTATGACTCATCGGACCCGGTCAGCACCAAGTACATATTGTCATTCCCATAATAAATGACCAGGTGACTCACCTCCTTCAGCAATCAACACGTAGCACATGTCTACTGACTCATATGCCTAGCTGGGCTCGGCCTAAGTTACCTTCTTGTTCCTCAAACCCACTATAAAAGGAGCAACACTGCATGAGGTAACTCTCTCTGGTCTTTTCATGTAACTAAGCACACACTATATTACATCCCCACTCAAGCCAAAATACTAACTTGATCATTGGAGGAACAACCGGAGAACCCAACTCTGCCTTCTTACAAGTTCCTTCATGTGTAAAGAAGAACAACAAGCCCCAGAATTATTCATCGGGAGGAGTTAGAGGACCCTAAACACTCCATAAACTCTCAGATTACCCCCTGTTTGATAGCTGACATCAACAGATACGAATACGAATATGCATCGGTTAGAAAAAGTCAAGACCATATCTGCACTAAAGGAAAACTGATATGGTTCGGATATTAGAGAATCGGATACGGTTATGATCACAGATACAAATCAGATATTTAGGAAACATATATGATTCAGACATATATCGGATACGATAAAAAAATATATAGTGACATAGAATAAGATAATACATACAGATGGAATCACTTATCTAATCTTTACATTGAACAAGTGTCTATACTATAACCATCTCGTTTAGCTTATAGCACTAGGATATTAGTGACACGGTGGAGGGTAGTGGGAAAATGCAAATTATGTTAAGTAATATGTGAATTAGATATATAGCAAATTTATTTGTAGCCTAGTGATTAGGTTGGTTGCCTTATAACTAAGAGGCTAAGGTTCAAATCCTAGCAAATGCATTATTGTTGCTAGTAGTATTTTTTTCTTAAAATGAACTTCCTGGTATCCGAACCGGAGCCGCTAGTTGAACTTGATTACCGTATCCTACTAAAAAGAAAAAAATATAACTAAAATTAAAACCATATCCGGTCGATTTTAGATTTTGATTACCGTATCCACATCATTATCGGATACAGTTGCAGTCGGTTCGGGTATATCTGAACCGTTTACCACCCCTGGTTGCCTCGCCTCGCATTTGAATGGCGGGTTTCCCATATCCGATTTCCAAGGTTAGGATATTTCTCACGCTCTCGATGTCAATGTCGTCGGAACTTGGTTGGTCTGATCTTCAAGCTGATATCCTCTCCGTCATTTCCAGACGACTTGAGGTCTCTGATTTCGTCAGTTGTCGTTCTGTCTGCTTGGTGGAGATCGATCTCAGGAAAAAAAAGAAAAATGACAAATGTCGGCCAAAGCCCCAAATCCCATCGCTCATGCTCTCCTCTCCCTCCAATCCCGACTCTCACTATTTCCACATCCTCAGAGATCGCAACACTACATAGTGTTGGGAAAACTCGGTCTTTCCTGTCTCCTGAAGTTAAGATAAGCACTTATAAATTAAGATAGTAATGAGAGCACAAGAGTTTATGGTCCTCCAATATAGAGGTTCTTCCACTATACAAAAGAATAGTAGAATTACAAGAATTTATATTTTACAAAACTGTCTCACTTTGGTGGCTCACTCGAGCCTGAGGATTAGGACTCTCAAGCTATCTCACTTCTCACTCAAAGAGTTTTTAATTTGGAAGATGAAAGCATCTGGTCACTAGGCCCTGATGTTGATCTTGACGAGTTTAATCGGCCACCACCACTATGGTTTACTCCTATGCTATGAGCCTATGATAATTTCATTTCATAAGGTAATTTCTCAATGTCTGCAGTTATGACTTCTTGTTTATCAACATCATTGTAGTTTATTTTTGGGTAAATGATGTACATGACTTTCGTACTATGTATTAGGCTACCGCAACACCTAGGCCAAATAATTTGGGAAAGCATGATAAATAAATGTCGTGCCATTTTATCTTTTAACCATTGCATAGAACAAACTCTAATTGGATCCTCAATATATGACTATGCGACCACTTTCGTGAGTATATTGTGATTGTAAAATTTGGTAAGTGTTCCTGTTAATGATTAATTGATTAGTCATCGCACCATCTTAGACAGAGTTTATAAATTTTCAAGTTCAAGCTAGTCAGATAGATTTAGATCATTCGTTAACCTGATTAGAGAGTTAACCCAAGTAAAAGTTTGGGTATTCTGGAAGTGTTTAACTCCAAATTCGGACTCAAATATTTGTTAGCCTTTCCTTTGTGATCCAGGGTTCCATCTATAATGTATAATATTTTATTGTGAAATATTTTAAATACAGATGTTTGAGATTGAAATATATTAGTTCGGATCCTTTGCATCTCAGTTTAGACTCTTAGCTCATTAATGTTGACTTTATATGGGTATTTTGTGTAGGAAAATTTGTATTAGGGAGTCTCAAGACTAATGCCTGTCTTGCGGCAGCAAGCGTGTTAATATACTGCTTTACTACATCAAGAATAAGAACACTCTACCTACAGTACATCTTTATTAACCGTTATGTTCCAAGACATCCATGCATGTATTCTGACAGCCTAGTTGAATACCCTCGCTGCCTTTAATATTGACGGCAACAATCCCTTGCATCCCCTTCTTTTCATCTCCTCCAGGCCCATTGAGGGCAGAGGGAGGCGAATGTAGAAGGTTTTCGATCGAATCGCCAGACAGCCAAGACTTGTTCTTGGTACTTAACGAGTTAAATGGTGATTATGCAGCAAGGTTTGAGTCCCGAACGGGCTTCTGATGGCGTCAATGGAGAGAGCTCAGTGTCGAACTCGAAGTTGAAGTGGATAGATAGCGGAGGAGGAGGGCATCGGGGTCGATGGAGCCTGGAGAGCGAAGGACGAGGGCGTCAAGGTCGAAGTCGGAAGTCTGATGGCCTCTGATGTCGTCAAGGTCGAAGTTGAAGTCTGATGGCGTTGATCGGGGTAAAACTTTGAAGTCAAAGCCAAAGTCTGATGGTGTCAATGGAGAGGTCTCAGCGCCGAACCCAAACTTGACGTGGATGGAGAATGGA